GCTAAGTCTCTTCATCTTCTGGAAAGAGCTCACTGCAGAAGCTGCAAAGCCTTAGCATTTGTGGCAAATTGAGAACCTTCTAATGTAAATATCTTTTTGCTTTTTTTTCCTTATTTTTCTTTTCTTGTATTTTTTATGTGCTATTTATTTTGAATTTTAAAAAGACTATATCTGCCACAGACTTGGATGTTTCTTTAATGTGTTTTTCTTGCAGGTACGTTTTATAATTAGTCTGTAATGTACATACATCCCTTGTTACTTTTTATAGTGATCAGAGATGGTTTGAAATAAGTGGCCAATTTTTTTTCTTTGCGACAGAGTGGTTAATGCTGTAGAGTAATGAAGGGCTGATGGAAATAGATACAAATCTCATTCAAAAGCATTTAAAGCATTAAAGGAATCTGATCTTAAGTAATAGTATCCGTCACAAGCAGAGGAAAATGCCACAATTTAATTCAAACTACATTGCCAGTGCTTACTAAGTACTTGTACTTGTTATCCACAGCACAAGGAGTTTTAAAGGAAATCCAAAGTGTTTCGATTACAAAACTGCATTTCTCACACTATACTGCTAGGGCAATCCAAAGTCCTTTCATAGCTGTGGTCTGCTAGCTCTCATTGGTACCTGCAATTTGCCACCCTGGCTGCCCACATTAATGCCATGTAACAGAAGCCTCTTTAACCCTGGCACTTGGAGGGAACTAAGTGCCATCCTCCTCCCCACCAACTATGGCCCAAGAGTTCTTTTTTGGGAGAAGGTGGTATACCCTGCTGGTATAGGTTTGCCATGTTACCCCAATTACTAGTGTGCCAGACGATTCCCCAACATTCAACTGTTTGTCATCTGGTTTGTTATGGTGGGGAAATTCATGTCTTATTGTTTTCCTAGCATGGTGTTATCCCATTGTTCCAGGACACTTCCAGACCAGTTCAAAGTGGCCGCCCTATCACGCCTTTGAATCTCCCGTGTGGTCCTCAGCCCTTGTTATTGACTGTCTCAACCCTTCTTTGTAACTACAGAGCTCCATGTACACTAGATTTCTAGACTAGTATTTGGATGGAAGGGGAGATATGGCTATAATCACTGCTCTATCGGAGAGAAATTCTCTAAAACTATAATCACTGCAGCCTGATCTGGGGAAGAGGTCCTCAAGAGTCCCCAGTCAAGCTTCAGCGATGTTCCTGGTGGCAGAGAAGATGATAATGGACAGAAATACTCAGTTGAAGTACAGGGCTCCATCACATGCCGCTTTCTCTTTATCCTCTAAATGCAAAGATCGTAATACAGTAAAGATATTTGTGGTGATTATTTGTAGTTTAACAGTACAATGAAGGACTACACACATCAGTAAAGGTCCAAGGCTGATTTATTGAATAATAGTGAACATTACTTTGGCTCAAGCAAAGAGCCTTTATCAATTTTTCTATACTTGTATTTTAATGTCAAGTAGCAATCTCACTAACGTGTGTTTTGACCCCATCACCATGGAAATCGAAATACCGCGTGAAAAAGGTCGGGAACACCTCAGATTATGTCACATTGTAATGACTATTGCTTCTGAAGGCCTACTAATAGTCTCTTGGGACATGGTGTTGCTCATTAGGAGATTGAAGGATTTATATTTTTATATACAGAGGAAAATTAGAACACTGATACATGCTGGCTGTCCATGACCTTTTGAGAAGCAGCAAATCCCTTTAATTCAGTGAGGGCTTTCTCTCAGCCTCGTCTGGAGCTCCCAGTCTGGTTTCCAAATACCATCCAGTGTTCTGCTTTCCAGCTGTAACCTTGCTGCCCTCTTGGTTCAATACGCCAGCAAATTCCTTAAATATATATGTATAAATCAGAGTGGGTGCTGACCTTGTCTAATGAAACATAATCTACACCTTCACACTGACTGCTTTCAAAACCCACACACAGAGCTTCCAACAAATAATAGAATGTTACAAAGTGATGGAACCTGCATCAGTGTATGTTAAGTAGTAACGGTAAAACTAACCAGACGGGGACTGTGGGAACACATTGGAAAGTGGTGGCAATCCTTGGCACTGCCAGTATTTATCAACTATATTTTCTACTAATAAAAGTTTTGCTTTATTTTTTTTATTGTAAACTTTAGGATGTTTATTGTTAAACAAAATATTCAGTTTACATTGCACATGTGCCTGCTGTCGGAGGTGACCAGCTAATAATGCTTCAATTATGTCATTGGGGCATCATTAGCCAGCTCTGGGTGAATTCTGTGCAAAATGATCATCTGACACCAGCATGCACAGCATCTTGCACCACTGCTAATGGTGGCACTACCTTCCCATTCATCCAATCTTCCCTGACAACCATTCTCAAAAGACATCGAAGGAGAAAGATGGGGCTGCAGGCTGAACATGGCCCTGGAATAGAGGTGTGTTTTTGCGGTTTTGTTTTCTTTCTTGGGATGCAAGGGAGGGGGGTGGCCATGTAAGAAGAAAGCTTACTCGGAACAAAAACATTGCCTTCTGAAAACACTTTTTTTTGGGTTTTAGTAACCCTTTAAATGGCCAAGAGTAAAACTAAAGTAGTTTTTGGAAACTCCAGAGGTCTTTTTCTTTAGATGATGTGGACTTACATGTGCAAATGCTCTACCGGCAACTAGCACAATCCGTATGAGAGAGAATTCCCCAGAAAGCGACAGAGGGTCCCTTACACCTCCAGGTTGCTTTAGTGTGCTCTGTGACTGTGTGCGATAACTAGACTTTGGTGGACCAGTGTAGTAGCTTACCTCAGGCTAGTCATCATCTTCTAAACCCCCCTCTTGTGTGTAAATAGAGGAAAAACAATATCTGGCAGACACCGGCTGCTTGCCTCTAAGATACAATCCTGGAGTAAAGATATCTGTGCCTTGAAATGAAGAGGATTTAATACAGTAATAAAAAGAATAAAACAGCTGTCCTTTCACTCTGACATTTCTAGCCTTCGTAAAGAAGAAAAATGTGGTTAGAAAGGAATGCTATGTATTATTATGCGTGATAGAAACTCAGACAACAGGGGCCTGGAAGAACAAACCGTTTTACCTGATCTTAAAAAATATTTTGTTTGTAATCCTTCTTACACCGATCATCAGTCAGCCCGCGCCAGCTCTCTAATAACTGTGTGTGCTGACACAAGGTCTCTTTCCCCTGTAACTCAATATAGAGTTTGCTGGGGATTGGCTGAGAATAGCCCTCTTGGTACCCAAGCAATAAACAAAAACATGTACACAAAAGTTGTATGAGAAAAAACAAAACATAACATGCCTGACATCGTATTCTATAGGTGTAGCCTCTTAACCCCTTAAGGACCAAACCTCTGGAATAAAAGGGAATCATGACATGTCACACGTCATGTGACCTTACGGGGTTAAAGGCATACTATAACATTAGGAATACAAACCTGTATTTCTAATTCTTGAATGCCCCCTTTCCCCAATAAAAAAATAAAACAAAAAAATCCCCAAACGTTTTACTTGCCATTTTCCAGCGCTGAAGCTACCTCAGTGCTGTGCAGCTCACCATCTCCTACAATGAAATCGAGAAGGCATGGCCTCCTCTAGTGGTGGTCCAATACTTCTGATAGAGCGGGATTGGGGACATAATGCGCATGCGTGATAAGTGCTGCGCATGTATCTAAGATTCCCTATAGGAAAGTAGTGTATTCAATGATTTCCTGTGAGCTTCCATGTCACGTTACTGAGTTTTACCAAGTCTTATGGAGGGAGCGCCTCTAGTGACTGCCAATATGATGGCTACTAGAGCTGTGTTTAACCTTGCAATGTAAACATTCTAAAAAAATTGCAGTGTTTTACATTAAAGGTTTAAAGTGACAGGGCCATTGAGATGACGTGGTCTTGGGTGCCATTAGGGTACCTTTAAATTAGTTTTTATTCATTCATTTATTTATGAGGCCATTACAGATAATATTTATACGAACATGTTAGAGTAGCCCTAGATGTGAAATGCCACCCAATTGTCACCTTCCCAAGGCTTTTGAGATAAAGCTGCCACCTCTCACATCCGTTGTCATGTGGTTGTTATCCCATTAACTTGAATTATTCATGGAATTATTCCTAGGGCAGCACCTAGGTGGATCGATCATTATCTGCCCCTTAACTTATCATTAGAGTTGAGCGGACACTTAGCTGCTCAGGTCCGGCAGGTTGGGCCGAACTTTGAAAAAAAAGTCCAGGTTCGGGCTCAAACTTGACCCCCAACCCGAACCCCATTGAAGTCAATGGGGACCCGAACTTTTGGCCACAGAAATGCCTCAAAAAAACTCCTGGAAAGGGCTAGAGAGCTGCAAAAGGAAATAAAATGGAGTGCCCTGCAAATAAATGTGGATAGGGAAATCACTTAAAATAACATAAAAATTAAAAATACAGCTGAACCATAAAATCGCACTAGATGGAATCTTTGATTTTAGCTTTGGAAGAACATAAATCAAAATCTAAAGCATGGTTGTCGGAGGATCACCAGAATTATCCATTTGAGAGAGGGTTGGAGTGCAGGGTATTCTCTTTCATTGTTCAAACTGAGCTCAACTCCTGATGCATGGAGAAAAGGCCTTCACAAGCCTCTGCTATTGTTTATACTACGTACATAGTTTATACTACGTGACCCATAGGTTGAGGAGGTGGTGACCGTGGCGGTGTAGGTGAAAGCGGCGGTGGAGGAGGAGGAGGTAGCCAACACTGTTTTTTTTATTTATTTTTTATTGGGGTAGCCCCCAAAATATTGGGACATAGAAAAAAAGAAACATTTGCGGCCTGTGGTGCATTTCTTGCAGTCCTGATGCATGGAGAAATGCTCAACTCCTGATGCATGGAGAAAGGGCCTTCACAAGCCTCTGCTAATGTGTACATAGTTTATACTAAGTGACCCATAGGTTGAGGAGGCGATGACCGTGGCAGTGTAGGTGGAAGCGGCGGTGGAGGAGGAGGATGAGGTAGCCAACACTGTTTTTATTTTTTAATTGGGATAGCCCCTAAAATATTGGGACATATAAAAAAAGACAACTATGTTCCGCAGGGTAGCTGTTGACATTATAGTTGCGCAGGCACTTTGTTGACTCTAGAGAACCTCGTGACAATCGCACATCCCCATGACGGCGACACTGCATTCGGATGTCATCCATATCAACTTTCGATGCCAGTTTCAGTTCCTACCATGGTGACCACGGGTAACAGGGAATCATGGTTCTATTCCGTACAGGGACCCTGAGAAACGGCTACCACATGCAAGGAATGCAGCAGGCGTGCAAATGACCCCCTCCCGACGCAGGAAGTTAGTGACGACAAATAACAATACAGGACTCTTTAGAGGCCCCGTAATTGTAATGAGTCCACTTGAAATCCTTTAACTCTGATCAATTGGAGGGAAGTCTGGTGTAGAGCCACTGACGTGCGTGCTGCAGCTGAAACTCCACTATTGCCTGCTGCTGCTCGCACAGTCTCATGAGGCGGTGAGTGGGAAGGCCGAAGTTACGCTGCAGCGCAGACAGGCGAGCAGCAGCAGGGTAAGAACGCCAAAAGCGCGCACAGCGGCTACAGTGAATGAATCCTGTTCCAAGTTGCAGATCAGTCTGGTGATGGTTTCTGGTATCCAGTACTCTTTTTACTGAAGCTGCATCAGGGTCCTGGTATGTGGCCACACAAACGCTGATGCTCAACACCAGGGGGCGTGCGGTTACCCTGCACCAGACCCTGCTAATCCATTCCACACTGTGACTCCTAACTTCAACATCAGGCATACTGGTCCTGGTCGTCCCACCGCCGCTCAGACAGTGTCTGGGTCCTGGTCACCGGACTGCCCACCTGACTGTGAAACTACGAATGGATCGTTAAATCTGGTACGAACCCGAACTTTGCAGTTGGATCCTTTGATCGCTACATGTATTACTCGGATAACTGGTAATTCTCGAGCTAATGCCGACGAGCGCTAGGGGACGGCTGCTCCACTTTTGCACCCTGCTCCCTCTTATGCTGTGCTGTGCCTCTGAGCAACCAGCGCCTCTTCCTCCAAACTGCACACGTCACTCGCATGACCCTGATTCCATGTGGGGTCTAGGACCTCATCATCCTCCACATCATCTTCCACCCACTCCTCAACCCTGCCCTCCTTGCCGGTATGCACACTGCAGAAGGCCACAGCAGTTGGCACCTGTGTTTTTCCAGCATGTAACGTCTGCAAAGGACCTATGGAAATTGTTTTAGAATTGTATCCAGGCAACAGTTTTCCCTATAAACTGACCTCTCAGTTTGACTTGTGAGGGTATTGCCCCAGAATTACAATATTGTTTAAGTACCTCTTAGCTATTGATCACTGGTTTAAATATAGCAGCTTGTTATCTGGTAGTTTCTAGTGTAGAAAATATCAATCTGTTTTCTATCACTTAGATCTGTGTAACAAGTGTTGTAGGTGTGAAACAATATTACAAGTGACCGATGTAGTAAATTTGAATCAAAGTTACGCTTCGATTTGACTCTCAGATATGAAGAGCAGGCCACAAAATGTACTATTTAGCAGATTAGCAGCAAAACAATTAGAATGTTTACCACTGCGCTGTAAGTGCACTATTAGACGCTTCTATTTTAATCTCAGATATGAAGTGCACACCCCAAAATGTACTATTTAGCAGATTAGCACCCAGAAAATTTGAATTTTTACAACTGCGCTGTAAGCACACTATTAGACGCTTCGATTTGACTCTCAGATATGAAGAGCAGGCCCCAAAATGTACTATTTAGCAGATTAGCAGCAAAACAATTAGAATGTTTACCACTGCGCTGTAAGTGCACTATTAGACGCTTCTATTTTAATCTCAGATATGAAGTGCACACCCCAAAATGTACTATTTAGCAGATTAGCACCCAGAAAATTATAATTTTTACAACTGCGCTGTAAGCACACTATTAGACGCTTTGATTTGACTCTCAGAAATGAAGAGCAGGCCCCAAAATTTACTATTTAGCAGATTAGCAGCAAAACAATTAGAATGTTTACCACTGCGCTGTAAGTGCACTATTAGACGCTTCTATTTTAATCTCAGATATGAAGTGCACACCCCAAAATGTACTATTTAGCAGATTAGCACCCAGAAAATTATAATTTTTACAACTGCGCTGTAAGCACACTATTAGACGCTTTGATTTGACTCTCAGAAATGAAGAGCAGGCCCCAAAATTTACTATTTAGCAGATTAGCAGCAAAACAATTAGAATGTTTACAGCTGCGCTGTAAACGCACTATTAGACGCTTCTGTTTGACTCTCAGATATGAAGTGCACCCCACTAAAATACTATTTAGCAGTAGCACCCAAAAATTTTTAAGTTTTAAAACTGCAATGTGGCAGCAGTATTTGACGATTCTATTTGACTCTCAGATATGAAGTGCATCCCACTTATGTACTATTTAGCACCCAAAAAAATTGACTTTTTTAAAACTCCGATGTAACCGCAGTATTTGAAGCTTCTATTTGATTCTCAGATATGAAGTGCACCCCACTAATGTACTAGTTTGCAGAATTATTTCCTAAGCTGTCCCTCACAGCTGCAGCATCCTCTCCCTACACTAATAAGACCTCATGTGCGTGCGGCGCTACGTAACTCCAGCTTATATATAGAGGCTGGGTCACATGCTGCACTGGCCAATCACAGCCATGCCATTAGTAGGCATGGCTGTGATGGCTTCTAAGGGCACACGAGTCAAATGCTTGTTGATTGGCTGCCCTGCAGCCTTTGAAAACGCGCCATTAAATTGCCGAACACCGAACTCCAACCTGAACATACAGTGATATATCCGTGTTCGGGTCCGGGGTCCAGAAACCGTAATGTTCGGTACGAACCTGAACTTTACAGTCCGGGTTCGCTCAACTCTACTTCTCATTATTGCAGAACAAGTTCTAATTTATATTTTGGGAGTAATGCACTTATTTAGTTCAATATAAATATATGTGAGATATATTATGCTAAGCTATTACTATATACCCTTTGGATTTTCACACTATTACTAATACTGTACCAAATCAAATCTAATTTGTCGAAATACAGGTATTTGTTTTTGCAAAAATAAAAAGTGTGTGTATATGTGTGTGTGTATATATATATATATTGTACATAATGTACTCGGGTTCCTTTTAATGTCTCCTGTGACAATATTAATGAGTTTAATCTTCGCGCAAACTGCCTGCTGTATGGAAGATTGAGGATTGTACATGAGACGTACCGCGGTTAATGCTGTGATTATAGGCAACAATAGGTCTCAAAAAGTAATATGAAACCCAGAAAACGAATGTGAGCAATAAAAAAACACGGAGCAATTAGTATCTTGTTCTTGAGTAAAGGTTCCTATCCCTGAGGCTATTCTGACTAACCTCTCTTCAGTGTCAGTGCTTTTATTTGTTTTTATATTTTTTTGTTTCATATAAAAGTTCCAAGCTGTTTTGGTACTTCTGGTATAGTATCACAGTGATCTACCGCTTGCTGTTAAAATGTAATGCATTGTTAAAGGGATATTTCAAACATATTTTTTGCATAATAATCAAAATAACCAAAGTGCCACCTAAATTTGCCTTATCAGTTCCAAGAATGACAATCACAAAAGCAATTTTATGGGAGACTTGGAGCTCACAAATAATGCTTTAAGGAATGTTTGTTCACAGAATACAATGTGGGAAAGTTGCTCGCACAAGTCAACAGAAGCGGCCAATGGTAGGAGGGTTTATAGGATATATACAGGTCTCAAACCAGGAAATCCTTGAACGGCCAGGATTGCCTAAAGGATCTCTGCCATCCTTAGGTTGAAGAAGACCGCACTGAGGAGGTTCAATGCACAGAAATTTGCAGAACAAAGGGTGCATCCAAAGGTTGAGTATTTTGTAAATACAAATTGGATAACCTGAATTAGATCTGTAGGGCACATGGCTCCTCCTTTATCTGCTAATGATTAAAGACAGGAGAATATTGATATGATTCACAGTAGATACTAATAACATAGAAACATAGAATTTGATGGCAGATAAGAACCATTCGGCCCATCTAGTCTGCCCAATTTTCTAAATACTTTCATTAGTCCCTGGCCTTATCTTAAGTCTAGGGTAGCCTTATGCCTATCCCATGCATGCTTAAACTCTCTCACTGTGTTAACCTCTACCACTTCAGCTGGAAGCCTATTCCATGCATCCACTACCCTCTCAGTAAAGTAATACTTCCTGATATTATTTTTAAACCTTTGTCCCTCTAATTTAAGACTATGTCCTCTTGTTGTGGTAGTTTTTTTTTCTTTTAAATATAGTCTCCTCCTTTATGTATTTAAATGTTTCTATCATATCCCCGCGTCTCGTCTTTCCTCCAAGCTATACATGTTAAGATCACTGAGTGCAACATCTCCTTGACGCAATCTGTGTTCTTCACTAAACTCTAAATTTTTGGACAAACTGATGCAAAAATGGCTAATCTGGAAACATTTTTATCTCTGCCATGTCCGAATTCCTCAATTTTGTCATTTGGATTTAATGTGCAAGAATTTGGAGTTCGTTGAATAATCGTGTGGAATGTAAATCATTCTTCAAAATGGACAGGTTTTTACGAACACCTCCGATATCTCCAACAGATCAAAATGACGAATACCTCTGATATCTCCAGCAGAGCTGAATTACTAATAACTCCAATATATGGACAATTAGAGTTGTATTGAAGTGCTTGTTTAAAACATTGATTTGTGTGGACCTCCCATTGTGCAGACTTATGTATCCACAATGAGCACCCAAATGAGTTCGAAATGCAGAACTCTTGATGCTCCATCAACTGGTTTATTTCTGCTACTCAATGTAGTCAGGGCTCCATCTAGAGCTATTTAAACTGTTTAGAAAAGCATTGTGCTAAAAGACAAAATGTACTTCCGGTAGAACTTTCTTGGAATTTAGAGATTACTTTTTTTACATGATCATGTGTTACACTCAGAACGCACTTTCAATAAACTATTTATTGGCATGCATAATATGCAAGAGGATTTAAGGCCTTTCTGTGGAAGGTACTAGGGTGGTCAAACCAAACTTTCTGTTTTATTAGACAGATGAATATGTCGGGTTTCGAATGTGCAATTAGAGCAACGTTGAGCCTTGACATTACCTCATCGAGTAAGATGATTGAGATCTTGCAGAGAGTCTATTGAAAAATTATGATAATTTGGGCAGTTGGTGCACTTTACTCAAATGTCACCTAAAAACAGTCATTTCTGCAAATTTTTACTTTTTCAACAAAGCTAATGGAGAATTTGTGTTCTAACTATATTG